GAAGTCGTTGATCAGGTGGTGGTTGTGCTCGTTGAGGTTGCAGTGCAAGGAGACGCAGTCGCTCTGGTAGAGCAGGTCCTGCAGCGTGTAGACCCGCTGCACCCCCAGGGACCGCTCGATGCCGTCCTGCAGGTACGGGTCGTAGAAGAGCACGTTGAAGCCGAACGCCTTGGCGCGCACCGCCACCGCCTGCGCCGTGCGACCTGCGCGGGGCCGAGAGACAGCAATGGGCTCAGCCGGCCCGCAGGGCCTCCGAGGCGCCACCACAGAGATTCCAAGCGTCTTGGGGCCTCCGAGGTGCCACCATGGAGCCTCCAAGCATCTTGGCACCTCCGAGGAGCCACCAAAGAGCATCCAAGCATCTTGGGGCCTCCAAGGCGCCACCACGGAGCCTCCAAGCATCTTGAGGCCTCCGAGGTGCCACCAAGGAGCATCCAAGCATCTTGGAGCCTCTAAGGCACCACCTCGGAGCCTCCAAGCATCTTGGAACCTCCAAGGCGCCACCATGGAGCCTCCAAGCATCCTGGAACCTCCGAGGTGCCACCAAAGAGCATCCAAGCATCTTGGGGCCTCTGAGGTGCCACCACGGAGCCTCCAAGCATCTTGGAACCTCCGAGGAGCCACCAAGGAGTATCCAAGCATCTTGGAGCCCCTGAGGCGCCACTACAGAGTCTCCAAGTATCTTGAGGCCACCAAGGAACATCCAAGCATCATGGAGCCTCCAAGGCACCCCCAAGGAGTCCCCAAGGTGCACCGAGCTCTACCCATGGGTCTCCTGCTCTCTGCAGCCCTGCCAACGTACCAAACCCAATGAGGCCGAGGGTTTCTCCTCTGATCCGGGCTGCCCCGGAGGCCACCTCGCGGATCTGCTCCACACTCTGCACGCGGGTGCCTTCTCGCAGCGCCTGGTAGAGCCACGTGTTCCGCCGGTAGAGGTTGAGCACGTGGCAGATGGTGGAATCCGCCGTCTCCTCCACGGCTGCCGACGGGATGTTGCAGACAGCAATCCCTGCGGGAGGAAGCACAGCAGGGCAAGGCCGCGTCGCGGGGACGCACAAGCTCGGAAGCCGTCGCAGCCTCAGGGCTCGTCGCTGCCGGGCTCCTCCGGCGTGGGGAGAAACCCATGGAGGGGCCACTGACAGGGAGAAAATGCCGTGGGAAACCCTGTGGCGGTTGCTAACGTGGCCCCAGCTCTTCCTCATGGATAACTAGCCCAATTCTACTTTATGCTGCATTTGCGGGTAGTCATTATGTTTTCTACTTGAAAGCACCTCATTTGGCCACCCAATTTCTAGAGCAGGAAAAGGATTAGACTGCGGCATCCCATTACTTTATTCGCTGTGTTTTCCTTTCTGTGCTGTTGAAAGCCTAAGAACGTTGCTATAATGGATAATAACAATAAGAGTTACAAATCTGGAAGGAAACACTGCACTCAGAAGACACTGCTCTCCTCTCAAAAGAATAATCCACTCTACCAGGAATTGCTCTTTCAAGAATGACTATTTGAAACTCTCTTCTCTCAATTATCCTTGTAAAGCGGCTCACGTGACACGGCTGTTATTCTTAACCTCGTCTGGAGATAACCTTTAATACAAGAGATCCCAAACACGGCTACCCAAGGGCTTCTTGATGGCCCAACCTTCGGGTGAGATGGTTGGAAGCGGCTGTAACGTGGCCGTGGCTCCCGCAGACGCTGCTGCTCTGGGGGTGCAGAGCTGCCATCCTGCCCTCCATGGGGTGACCACAAGTACCAGAGGCCACAATTTGTCCCAGGGAAGGCAGCTGAAGGGGATAGGCCAAGGGGACAGCACAGACCTCAGCAGTGAGACCTACCCAGCTCCCCCGCAGCCTTGATGTCGATGTTGTCGTAGCCGCTGCCTATTCGCACGATGACCCGCAAGGCCTTGAACTTCTCCAGGTCCTCGCGGGTGAGGGTGATGGTGTGGTACATCATGGCCCCCACGGCCTCGTTCAGCACCTGCAGGCGACACGGGCACGTCAGCGCTACCTCATTTATCAGTGGGGCCCCACAAAAACAGCTGTCTCCATTCCCCTGCATTTGGGCAGTGGCTGAAGTGCTGCAAAGACCAGCACTGATGTTAGTTCCCTCTCCACATCCTGGAGTGTCTCTGATCACCTCAGACCTCCCCGGAATCACCTAAATGGGCACCAAGAACAATGTGAGAGCAAGTATGGGCAAGGGGTTGAGCTTCCACGTAGAAACTGCCCTCAAGAGTGTGGGGATCTGCTCGCAGGGACCTGACCCATGCTGGGCTTGGAGAGAGCAGCTGGGGACACGTGGTGATGGGCTCGGGACACGTGGTGATGGGTTGGGGGACACAGTGATGGGTTGGGAGGTGTGGTGGTGGGCTGGGGACATGGTGATGAGTTGCGGGCCATCGTGATGGGCTGGGGGACGTGGTGATGGATTGGGGACATGGTGATGGGCTGGGAACAGCTGGTGATGGCCAGGGGGACATGGTGAGGCTTCGGCAGGACAAGGACACCTGAGTTGCTTAAAAAAACGCTCAAATAAGGTATTGCTGTGGGAAAAGTGATGTGAGGCGAGAAGGAGAATTATTTTCCCCAAATAACACCTGGCTCTGCCAGGTGCAGTGACTGCTCCTGATCTGCAGCGGCTCGGTCCGCGTCGGCCGCTCGGCAGCGCGCAGGGTGCGCTGAATGTGCTGGGTTTTCCCTCAAAACGAATCCAAGCAGGAGCCTGCGGAGCCGCCCTTACCTTCTCGTGGATCTCCTGGGTGGACTGTGCGTCACAGAAGGCCACCGTGGCCAGGTCCTTCAGGATGGGCATCTCCACGGTGCAGTCCCGGCCGTCCAGCAGGGCCACGAGGGGCCGCGGGTGCATGGGGCCGTTCATGATCTGCGGGCGGATACCTGGGGGCAGGAGCAGCGACGGCCGCGTCACGCTCGGCCCCG